CTGAACCATGTTTGCCATGGGGGCCTGTGAGGCCCCCCCTCTCACGTTTCCCGTCTGTATCAGGTTGCCTTGTCTATCTCTTGTAGACCTGCATTCATTCGTCCAATGTCTACCTTTTCCACATCTTCTACATAAACCTGAAGGCTGAGTCCTCCTATTTCTGTTATTTCTAGAAGATGCATTATTATTATTTCTGAAGATCCGTTGTTTACAATTCCTTTTCATATGACCCATTTTGCCACAATTAAAACATTTGGTATTCTGGTGTCTCCTTTTACCATTGGAAATTGCTTCTTCTACCCATGCTTCAGTGCCATAATCAAATGTATCAACATCCAGTGTATGCAAGACCCATTCTTCCAAGGGTGCTGATCTGAACCTTAAAGGCCCCAAAATCTTTTTGCATTCCACATTTGCATTTTCATAAGCCAAAGACTCAATCATTATACGTCTTGCGTCAGGGTCAGGTATCCCTATTTGCACAGCCTTAGTAAGTCTTTGTAAAAAATCACTAAAAGGTTCTCTCAGACCTTGTTTAATTGTGACAAATGATTCCATTCTCTGTCCTGGGTCTTGTACCCTGTCCCAAGCCCTTAAGGCTGCTGTAGTGCATATGGAGAGTGTGTTTTCGTCCAAATTAGCTTGTTCCTGAGGGTCAGAAAAGCGTCCTTCACCTAGAATTTTATCTAGGGAGATGTCACTTCCCTTCGCCTTTTCTTGCTGTTCTAAAAGTCTAGCCTCTTGCCTGAACAAGCATTTCCATTTTAAGTGCGGCCCACTCTCAAGGACTGCAGAGCTCAGCTGGAGCCAGTCCAATGGCGTAGCTCTGCTTGTGGATGCCCAAGACTTTAGCATCTCTTTAACAAAAGAGGAATGCATCCCGAAAGTCATGACAGCCTGTTTAATTTCTTTGAGATCATTCATACGGACATGCTCCCATGTATCTTCCTTAATGACCCTAGGGTTTCTGGAACCAATCACCTTCTCTGTTGTTATTACTGGAAAGGCAGGTAGAGCTGTAGGTAGAGATTTGTGGAAATTGTCCCGGAGGGATTTACCCACAGATGTAGTTAAAATTTGCCTTTCTACCGTTTGTTCTTCTTCATCAGAATTTAGAAATTCCTCAATCTTTTCAATTCTATTCACCATTGCCTTCTGCAATGTCTGTATCTCCTGTCCAGAATTATGTTCCAAAGCCTTCATTGAGGATTCTAAAGTATGAAGTTTGTCCATTAGAGATAAGTTCTCATCTTTGGACATAATTTTTATGGCATAAACCGTGCCTTCTTGTATTGACAATCTTTCTGCCAATCTGTCATAAGCTTTAGACAAAATCCGATAGTCACATTCAGCAGTTTTGATTCTCTCAGTTACTATTTCAGTTCCTACAGAAAGGGACTGAAGCTTACAACCCAAATCAGCTGTTCCCTCTTCCATAGTAATGAGTTTCTCCTTAATATCAGCCACTAATGTTTCAGTTCCTACAGAAAGGGACTGGAGCTTACGATCCAAATCAGCTGTTCCCTCTTCCATAGTAATGAATTTCTCCTTAATATCAGCCTGTAATGTTTCAGTTCCTACAGAAAGGGACTGGAGCTTACGATCCAAATCAGCTGTTCCCTCTTCCATAGTAATGAATTTCTCCTTAATATCAGTCTGTACCTTTTTTAAATTTTCCTCAGTTGATCGAGTCATGTTAAACAAAGATCTGTTCTCCTCCTGGAGAACTTCAAACTGATTCTTGAGAAGATTGTTGTCATTCTCAATTGTTTTTAAGCGTGCAACCTCTGCTCGTAAAGACTTTATCATATTTCTATTATCAAACCATATAGTGCCAAGGAAAACTACGAATCCCAGAAAGATCCATAGAGGTGGGGTGATAGACACCTCTTGTAAAATCTCCCACATGGTACAATTAAAAAAACTGTTAAATTCTTGAATGGTAACGTGTTCAGACATTTTAATTATAAAAGAAAATTTTTTCTCTTACCTGCAACGACTGGTTCCTGCCGGTGGTGGTCTCTGTGGTTTTGGAGCCTGTCTTGGAACTAGCTCTTGTAGACCAGGTTGGCCTCGAACTCACAGAGATCCGCTTGTCTCTGCCTCCCGAGTGCTGGGATTAAAGGCGTATGCCACCACCGCCTGGCCGGCCTTGAACTCACAGAGATTCGCCTGCCTCTCTGGATATTATGGGCCTGAAGGCCGAGTGTATCTCGGCCTTGGACTCAGCCCTGGGGCCCGAGTCACAAACTAAGAAAATGACACCCGGGAGCCTGCTGTGTTAGCTAGCAGGCTACGCGCTTGAGTCAGGGGCAAAATAGCCCAACGTTGGACGCCAAAATGTAACGGCGTAAGCGAATGCAGACAGATTGTCAAAATATAGACAGCTTTAATGGAGGAATAGACTTACAGAACCACCGTTCCGGCGGAGACCAGGAAAGCAGAAGCACGCTCGCTAAATTTATAGGAAAACTTTATAGGAAAACTTTAGCCTGAGGCGAACACGTCCCCTAAGGGGTGGGACTTATCCCTACACTTGTGTTAACTGAGTTTAATGTCAATAGTAGGTCGGAGGGGATCATGCCCAAGTGAAAGGTAACAGAAAAGAGGCTGAGAAGGACTAGAGTCTGGCTGGAAATCCTTCTGTTTGTGGTACTAGTGACAAAACTTGATGGTTCTTACATTCAAGAAAAGAAAGCATGAAACACGTTTTAGAAAAAAAAATACCTTAAAAGTTAAATGCAAAAAAAAAAATGTGATAATGTTGATCTGAACTAGCTCATTTTCCCCAAATACTTCTGAACATGCACATTGGTATGCACATTTGTGTCTGTCCTTCCAAACTGATCTATTCCTCATACTGATAGTGCTTATTTTTACCTCTAAGCTGTTCTTTTGTGCTGCATTATTGGTTTTTAAGAAAGTATATAGGGGGTTTAGATGCAATAGGGGCCTCCCAAAACTCTCTGATTCTGTTCATTAAATGTGTGTATAATTTTTCTTAAAGTAACATTAGTACCTGAGGAGAAGAGATAAGTGGTAAGTCTTTAGCTATAAGTCAATAAATAATTTTTACATAAACAAGCTAGTAAAATATGTAGCCATGTAATAGGATTTGCTTATTTTTCATTTGCCTACTGCAAACTGAGTTCAATCAGTATAAAGTCAGAAAAAAAATTCTCAAAATACAAGGAGCTGTTTTGTATGTAGACTATTACAAAAGGAACTAGAGAAATGCTCGGGGGATTCTATAGCATCTGTAGTTTAAAGGAATATTTGCCCTTTGGGATAACCCTTTATTCTTTTGTTCCTCAAAAAGTATAGAATTTCAGTGTACATTATGATGGATTTTTTGAGACTACATTGTAGGTAAATTTTTAATATAGTCTCTGGATGATGACAAGAAAACAAACTACAGCTTGTAGAAATTTAATCTTCTGTTTGCAATTCCCTGGCACTACCACTGTCCCTACTGTACTATATTCTGAATTATTTACTGCAACACTGCTCTTTGAGCAATTGCCATCTTGACCCAGCCACCCAGTAGGTGTATATGGGTTTCTGCTTTTCATGAGTGCTGCCAGGCTTGAATTTACCCTTGTCTACATTGTCTTCCCTCACCTGGCACATAGTTGGTCATACTAAGGCTTGTAGATACTGCCACTAGAACACACCACCCAAGCTTCCAAATCCAGAATATAGACTTCTAGAATAGGTATAAATATTCAGTGTTCCAGTTGTCTCAGGCTACATACTACTAACCTAACAACAGTTAGGAAACCTGTGTGTCAGTGATCCTGGTTGTCACTCAAGAGACATCAAGATTAGACATACTAGTATGCATCACTCTGAGTGCATAATAGAAATTGTTTGTTTTTGAAGTGCTAGGGATTGAGTCTGGAGTCTTGCACATTTTAGACAAGTGTTTCATAACTGAAATACTTGCACTCTGCCCAAGAATAGGTCTTTAGTATAAACTGACTTGATGTTAATATGACTTCTGTTTATTTGCTTTTGTTTCAGCTTCCTTTGTTTCATTCAATAAAGTATGTTTCAGTGCTTTAAATTAGAACTCTGGCACATGGTAGGCACTCAATATAAGCCTGCTGCTGAGATCATTATTATTTCCAGATGTCTCATGGCTGTTAAATGGCTGGCACCTGTTGGCAGTGCTAACAATCCCACTGAAATTCTTAATAACCACATTATGCATTGCTTAAAACAATTGAGGTGAAACCATGTGGTTTTTCTTCTTTAATCTGGTAATATGATTAATTGTAGTAATTGATGTTTTTTGTAACAGTGATTTTTTTCTGTTAAACCAGCCTTGCATTCCTAGAATAAACCAGATGTTATCATGTAATACTGCCCTTTTTATATACTACTAGATTCAGTTTGTTTACACATTGGTGATGATTTAGAAGTATGAGTTCTTGGGGTTGTATTTGTGGGAGCGTTCTTAAGTATGAATAGTCTCTATTACATATAGACCTAGTTACATATTCAATTCCTCTTGAATAACTTTTGATAAGCATTGAATCCGGAGAGCTCCTCCCCACTCTGTGACCTACAGTGTGCCTCCAGATGGGAAGCAGATCCAATAATAGTGCTCTCCTCACTGACTTGTCTTTTCTCAAGGGCCACAGTTCCATGTTGCCTACTGCCAGTATCTAAAGACGTTTGTTTCATGTAGTGTTTAATCGAGCTTTCTAGTTCTTTCTGACAGAAGAGTAACTCTGAGCTTTGTTCTACCCTGTAAGAAACTGGAAGCTACCTGGTTTTTTTTGGGTATTGAAAAACATAACAAATTGTGTTGGTTATAGTTGTTCCTTAACCAGATATATCGGTTTGACCTTAAAATTCTCAATTAGTTAAATTTTACATGTACTGTTGATTTTTAATCATATTGTAGTCCATTTCTTTCTGTCACAAATAAGTAATATGACTTGTTTTAGAAATTAGACTTTAAGACTAAACTTTATTTTTTCTCTTTATTTAAGTTTCCTTCAGCATTTGAATTTAATGAATTATTCTTGATTACAATTTTGGATCACCTCTATAGCTGTCTTTTTGGAACCTTTTTGTGCAACTGTGAACAACAGCGCATCAAAGAGGTAAGTGTATTTGCTTCCCCTGTTGTTCAGGCACCTTTCCTAGTAAGGTCTACCAGAAGGGGGCCTGAATGGAATAAGGATTTTGCTCCTGGTCCTACTGCTGCTTGTGAATGGTACAGAGTTGTAGAAGAGATGCCCTAAAAACTTCTAGAAACAGAAACCCAACAAGCCTACAGCTCTCTAAAGTGTAGGACAAAATCCATATTTCCACAGTTCAGTTTGATGGAGCCCTGTTAACTTTTTAAAAAAGATTTTAATTTGTTTTTAATATATATAAATTTATATATATACATACACACACATACATACATACATACATACATACTAGGGAGCCAAAAGAGAGCTGGAGTTCTTGGCAGCATGAACCACCATGTGGGTACATGGAACCAAACCCAGGTCCTCTCTAAGAGTGGCGAGTGTCTTTAAGAGCCAAGCTGTCTCTCTAGCCCTTCTGCTAACTTCTTAATTTTAAAAAAGGGGGCATTAAATAGTAAATATAATGGCATGTAAAACAAATGTCAATAAAGATGCATAAAGCAAAACAAAGGAAACCCATAACAGCAGGATGAAATCTATGAACTGTCTTTACCAATTCTTGTAAAAATAGAGTACAAGATTTATTCTTCATGTTAAAAAAAAAGCTCAACATAGATTGCATAATACAAAATTTACTCATCAGAAGTATAGAGTTCAGCACAAGCTGATATTTAATGTCATAAATATTTTAGCAACCCTCTTGGAAAATTCCATATCTATTAGCAGTTAGCCTCATATCCCCAACATCTAGAAACTTGCCTGTCTCTTAAAGGTCTGATTTCTAAAATATATAAAGAACTCAAGAAACTAGACTTTAAAATGCTAATTAACCCAATTAAAAAAATGGGGCACTGATCTGAACAGAGAATTCTCAACAGAAGTTCAAATGGCCAAAAGACACTTAAGGTCATGCTCAACCTCCTTAGCGACCAGGGAAATGCAAATCAATACAACTTTGAGATACCATCTTACACCTGTCAGAATGGCTAAAATCAAAAACACCAATGATAACCTTTGCTGGAGAGGTTGTGGAGGACGGGGTACACTCATCCATTGCTGGTGGGAATGCAAACTTGTGCAACCACTTTGGAAAGCAGTGTGGCGGTTTCTCAGGAAATTTCCTATAAATGGACTCATACAGTAGGCACATATTTGTGAGTGACCTACTTAACCTAGTGGAACAATTTCAAGGTTCATCCATATGACAGCATATTCCTTTTTATGTTAAGCAATATTTCTTTATGTGAACAGAGCACATTTTGTGTGTCCATTTATCAGTTAATAGATATTTCATTTTTTTTCTTTTTGTGGCTCTTTTAAATAATGTTGCTATAAGTGTTTATGTCCAAGTCCCATTGTTTAATGGTTATCTGTGCCACTATAACCACATATTTGGGTATTAGGGTCTTTTATTCAGATGAACAAATCTAATTGTTACACTATTTCTAAAGTGTGTACTGTAAAATTGAGAGGGAGATATAATGTGATGGAAATATAAACTTTTCTAGCCTGCCACAGTGGTGTTTTTGTGCAGATAACCATGCCATTGCAGAGGATCCTAAATGCAAATTTAATCCACATTTATGATTATGAAGAGTCACAGAAACAAACATCAATCCAGACTTCAGTGTGTATTTGTTATTAACGAGCCTGCTTATCCTGTAGATGCTAGAAAGTTCTTAGTACCTCATTACAGATACAATTGCCAGAGATTGCCTAACTTGAACACTATGTTTTCCTGGAACAGCACACATGTAGCATGAGGCTATGCATAGCCAGAGGGGTGGGCCTCAGTAAATGTGCATAGATTTTTCTGTGTTTGAATTCACTTCATTATCCAAATTCTTCCCTTTCTGAAATACTAATCCTTGAGGCTGCGGAGAACTTATTTCAATGTAGTGCTTTTTTTTCTTTTTCAGGATATATATACAAAGACTATATCTTTATGGTCTTATATTAATAGCCAGCTAGATGAATTTTCAAATCCCTTCTTTGTGAATTATGAGAACCATGTGTTATATCCTGTTGCTAGTATGAGTCACTTGGAATTGTGGGTAAATTATTATGTACGATGGAATCCACGGATGAGACCACAGGTAATTTTGTATTCTTCTTTTTAAAAGCATAAGTCTTTCTTTTCAAATGAAGTTGGTATTATAAAAATGTGTGTATAGTAGATACTGACATATTGAAGGGCTATTGTTCTTAGAAGTCAAGGCTCCATCTTTTGTGTTCCCATTTCAGAAGGTTCCACCCACATACCAACCCTGATACCACTTGCTGAGTTAGAGTCCCAACTCTTACATGTATGTCTTCTGACAAAAGTATGAAAAGTATGAAAAGATGAATGTACATCTCATGCTGTGTTTGCTTCTGAATCTTATAAATTTCTGGGAGGTATTGTGGGTGGCACCTCCCTCTACAAGTGTACTTATGGAGGCAGTGGAGGCTTGGGAAAATGCACCGAGGTTCACTTCTAATGTAATAAGAAGAGGATTGTGATGAGTTGTCGAGCAGCTACAGTAAAGTTTCCCTACCCTGCTACATAATTTCACAGTAAAGAAACAGGTTTTGACATTTAAAAAAAAGGTACAGTGCACAACAGAGGCCAGTCAAGCAAGCCTCCCTCCCACTTGTTCTGTTCAGTGGCTGAGCTCTTGATGCTCCTGGAGTGCTCCCCTGATTAGATATACCAGACCTTCGACCCAGCCTTGCTCTCCACCCTTAATATTCTCCACATTGAAGCGCGGTTAATAAAAGCTCAGAGATAGATATTGGGGTTCAACCTGAAGATCTGAAAAGCAAAGGAGCCAGCCACTGGCTCTTATCTCTACCTCAGTCTGAAATGGTGATCCTGCCTCCAGGAATCTCAGAATGAGACTGTGACTGAGAACTGTCTCCTCCTGTTTTATATTCCTCTCTAGGGATTAAGGGTGTGCACCACTACTGCCCGGTTTCTATGGCAAACTAGTGTGTCTACTGGGATTAAAGGTGTGTGCCACCACTTGCCTGGACTATAAGGCTGACCAGTGGGGCTCTTTTACTCTCTGATCCTCAGGCAAGCTTTATTTACTAAAATACGAGTGAAATGCCGCTGTACCACATAGGTAGCCAGGCCTGGCAGGGTCTAGGTCTAGAAAGATGTCATACAGAGGCAACCTTCTGCTGCGATTTTTGTTGTTTCTTGAGTTTAATGCTCTGGTGGTTTAAAGGACAGCTAACAGGAATATGTTGTTAGGTTTTGCTTTAACATCACTAATTTCATCATCCAAGGACCAGAAACTCATCCTGCTCCTCATCTGTCCCTCACCTGAAGTCTGTACACTCTCTATTTCTTCCTTAAGCCCCGCTAGCTAGGGAAAAGTTGAAACTACTCCTTTCTGTTTTCTTTGCCCAGAATGGAACTCCAGGTGCTACCATCACTTTGCTTACCCTCCCTCACCTAGACAGCGTGCTCACTTTTGTACTCAGCTGTGCCCTTCAGCTGAAACGTACATATCTCCTCCCCTGATCTTCTTTTGTGTGACATTGCAGCCCAGGCTGAGGTCACTTGCCTCATTTTCTGATGCTTTCCTGTTAAATTCTAAATGTTCCACATGGCTAGAGCTTTCTTCCTCTACATTCTGAGTTAGCCCTGCCACCCTTGGACCTCGGGAACATTCTCTGAAACTATGTGATCAGACTGAGCCCATTACTTGCCCTCCTTGCAAGGCCAGGCCCTAGGTCCAGGCCCTATGCTCCCCATGGCCTATACCTCTACTGCCCCTTCTCTTTCAGTGCTAGTGGCTCAGCAGAGCACCACAGAGATGGAAGTGCAAGGGGCATGTCTGTGCTTCACTGCAATCCAGAAATGCTTGCCTTTCTGACCTTATCAGTATTTTTGTACTGGGCTATTTCAGGGTCCGATGAGCCCTTCTTTTTCAGTAAGTAGAATCAGATTTATCAAAAATATATTACTATTTTATTAGTGTGTGTTGTACAATGGCACATGCAGGGGTTTCATTATGACATTTCCATATATAACACATAATATTATTTGATTATAATAAGGTGTCATTGCCCATTTACCTATTCACCCTTTCCCCTTTCCATATCCCTCATAGTTCTCCCTTACTTACCATGTTTCCCTTGCCCAGATTTCTCATATGGCATAGGAAACAAAGCGTGTATTCCACTTGCAGCAGCTTCCTCCTGTTGTATATTTTTGTCATGCTTAAGCACCTGACTGAGTAACAGAAAAGTTGGGCTATTATACCATGTTGCAAACTGGCCACTTTATATTACTTAGAAAAGGCTACTAAAGAGTTATCTTGATGACTCATGACTAGGCATATAGAGTGGGTGGAATGTCTTTAGCATTAGGGGAATACCAAGTCAGTGCACTCTGGGAACTGAGTGGCTTCTCAGGAACTGCAGGAGTTGCCATCTGCCCATACCCATACTCTGTACTCATCAGGTTGCAAACTTGAAGGGTGGTGAAGCTAGGTAGAAAGCATCCTCATAGCTATGTAGGTTCCTTCTGCTAGTGCTTAGCAACACGTCTTTATTGCACACTCCTGCAGTGGAGGGCTGCCAGGGACCAAGTCATTCGTAAAACTTATAGCCTACAAGAGAGTCTGTCTCTAAATGCAAACTGCAGACAGTTTCCTATAAAGGTAAGCAAATCAGGGTTCAGCATGTTGAGGGCAATGAGGAGCCATAGCATTCCTGCTATCTTGCACCTCTGTGTTTCACTGAGCATATAACTTCACTTAATACTCATGAAAGTCCCACACAAAGAGTGAAAGAAAATGACAGAAAGAAACCAGAACTCATCCAGCACCTTGCTGCCTGGTACATGTTGGCATGCACATGCCCCTGTCCAGGGTCAAACTCCATCTTTATCAGTGATTTGCTGCCAGATCTAGAAGAAGGTCCTGAGCCTTCATAGGGGCATGTAAGCATGATCTGTACCAAGTAGTTCATAGCACCATGCTGTCATACTGGCCAAGTGGCAGGCGTGGGAAGGCAGCACTCTGTTTTCCCTACACAGTGCTGTGCAAAAGGGAGAACTGAGAAGGCTATCTACGAGTCATAGTTTCCCCTAAATGTAGCAAACGCATACCAAATACCTCCTAAGTATGCTGAGCATACAGTGTTTTGGGAGGCCACGCAGAACTTTGGTGACAGCAATTCTAGAGGGGTAGGTGACATTTGTGTGGCAAGGTCAGGTTGTGTTCGGAAAATATTGCTTCTCCACTGCCAGCACTCAGATAGAGGAAAGGGTGCTGCACTGAAGACTGGGGCTGGGAAATATACAAGTAGATGGTGTGGATGGAAAATGGTGGCACACTGAGCCAGCTGAAGTAGAGAAATGTGTGCAGAAGAAAGTAAAGACACAAGACATCAGGTTTCTGAGACAAAGAAGTAGTAAAATTGGCCACTGAGGGCCTCCATATCAGCATCCAGCAAAGGATGAGTATGGTGTATGGCAGTGGGTATCCTCTTAGTGCCCTCTTGGCTTGAATCTTATACATGCCCAAGAGATAGACATGACTGGCCTTTTCCTGGGCATTTTCTCTAATATAAACACATTGTAGCTAAGCCTCAGGGTTTTCTATTCCTTCAGGCATGCCTCTGCATACATAAAAATGAAATTGAAATGTGAGAAAACATACCAAAAGCTTCATGAAAATATAAGGTGATAGCAGTTCACTGAGCAACCATGGGTCTCAGACCCTGCATGTTTTGCTCCCAAGATCCCATGTGGGTTACTGATGAAGACTTGATTGCAAAGTATTATTACCACCTGTGACTTGGCTAAATGATTCCATGCCTGTGGTAAATAAAGACAGACATCTTGAGAGGAATGGAGCATTCCCCCAGAGCACAATGGCCTCTAGAGCCAGCCTTTGCTATGTGATAATGGTGTTTCTGACTTTCTCTTTCTGGAGCCTGCCAAAATGGAGTTGTTTTTTTTTTTTCTTTTAACATTCCTGTTATTTGAGACACCTAGCTGTCTTTGTTTGTTGTCCTCCTGTCAGTCTTTCTGGGTCTCTCCCATCCCACTAAGAAGGATGATTGCCAGTAACACTCAGAATGATAGTTTCAAGTATTTGAGGGTGTAGAAGCAGGACCTGGTGAGAGGTGGGCCAGAGAAATAGGCTGGCCTTAGAGGCCAAGCTCAGGGTCTTACTCTTAGTCCTGAGGAAGTAGACACTGAAAAGTGGTATGTGGTGAGCCATATTGTCTCCCTGAGGCTTAGGACCAAATCCAGTAGCTGCTGTGTGTACAATGAACTGGAAAGGAAACAGGGCTCTCCAGACCCTGCGCATGCCTCCTTTGTCCGTAGCTGGTGACCTTTGCTGCTCAACATCACCCCCAGTCTGAGAAATCTATATGGTCACTTTTGTCTATAAGGGAAAAGCTGGGTCTCCAGTCTGGGCTCCTAGTAGGTACTGAGGGTGTCTGTTAGCTTAGAAAGCTGGGCATGATGAGCATAAACATGAGGACCTTCTCATCGCTTTGTTCTGCTCCCCCACCATCATCGGGGGGTCTAAAAGATAATCAGGGTGAAGCAATGAAAACGCACTAGTTGGGAAACAAAGGACTGGTCTCCTGGCGTACCTGCGTGCTGGCAATGCCCTCTAGGGGCTTTCTGCCAGCTCCTGTTCCAGGTGATGACACACAGAGGTCTGTGCTGAAGAGAGTGCTGACTTCCTAGAAGTGTTTATAAAATACACGAGTACAGGGCTAATGGAGCTGGGGGCTGACGAACACTGCTTAGTCCGGCAGCTGCGAAGAAGCTGCTTACACTTCTGACTCTTCCAAAGGCTGCCTTGTTGACTTGTGGCTACACCTGAACCTGTTTGCGCCTTCCTGAGAGCAAAGAGAATGGAGATTGAGGATGGCCTGCCTACTCCAGTGCCTTTTCATGCCTAGCTTGGCCCCAGGGGCTGCAGGACAGCCTGGGTAACCATCAAAAGCTCCTAACATGTGGAGATGGAGTCACTGTGCTGGTTAGTTTTATGTCAGTGTGACACAGGCTAATGTTATCTGGGAAGAAGGGCACTCAGCTGAGAAAATGACTCCATCAAACTGGCCTGGGGTGTATTTTCTTGATTGGTGATTGATGTGGGAGGGCAATGCCACCCCTAGCCTGATGACCCTGGGTTCTATAAGAAAGCAGGATGGGCAAGCCATGAGAAACAAGCCAGCAAGCAGCGCCCCTCCATGGCCTCTTCTTCAGCTCCTACCTCCAGGTTCCTTCCTGCTTTTAGCTCCTGCCCTGGCTTTCCTTGGTGAGTGTGGCCTGAGAGCTGTAACCTGAAACAAACCCTTTCTTCCTCGAGTTGTTTTGGGTTCTGGTGTATTATCACAGAAATAGAAACCCTGACCTTAGAAGACTTACACTTGGTGAAACATTGGTCAGTGGTCAGGAGTCTGGGCACATAGGTGTCTGGGTGGTAAAGAACCATTAGGCTATGAGCCTAGATACTGAAATGCTGTATTGGAACAAAGCATGCTCCAGCAGCACTGTGCTAACAGCCTTATCTCTGTTCACTGCCAGATGCCGATTCACCAGAATCTCAAGGAGCTGCTGGCTGTCAAGGCTGAGCTGCAGAAGCGTGTGGAAGATCTGCAGCGGGAGGTGGCCACACGAGCCATCTCAGCTTCTGAGAGAGGCTCCTCGCCTACCCACTCAGTCACTCCTGTCCACACCTCAGTCTGATGAACAAGGCCAGTGTCCTGGGCCAACCATCCTTCTGCTCTACTGTCTTCCAGAAGCTCAGGGACCTGGCCAATGATTTTATGGTTCTAGCTTGTCATCTTAGGATTAGGTCCAGAAACCATTTGTGTGGCTAGGTGACAGCTCCTATTAATAAGTTCTTTTATGTGAACAGCCTGTGACTTTCTTGAGGGCAGTCTCACAGAGGCATAAGATGTGACACCCACCCTGTGAGCTACCTTGTCTTGTACAGGTAGCTTGGGAAAAGCTAGATTGAATACAGTGTGGTATTTCAGCTTAAGAGAATCTCCTACTACTTCTTTCCAAGTTAAGTCCTTTGTTAGGAACAACCTGTTCACATATAGAACGCACCACAAGCCATGTGGCTTCTCTCAGCCTTTCAGCACAATTTGAAAACTGGTTCTAAATGAAATGCTAGTGTGGCAAATGGACCACTGCCACTTGTTCTACAGTTATCTTCACGCAAGAAGTCCTGTACAATTGGTACAATATGTACTACTGTGTACATACAAGGTATTTTTTAAAGAGAAACATGCCTTTATTTTCCTATGTCCTTTTTTATGTTTAGAATAGTTGTCTCAGGAGTCATCTGCTGAACTGTGCTGTATGAGAAATTCTTGCCCAACAGAGTTTATGTTGACTTTTGTGTGGTACGTTTGAATTAAGATTTCAGATATGTCATCTCAGTGACAATGTAGTATTGTTCTAACTCTGGGACTTGCCTTTTGAGGCGGCACAACCCATTCATTCACTGATGAGGTAACAGAGAATTATGAATGCTCAGTCCTCTGGCCTTGTTGCAGGTAAGCTGAGGGCTCAAGCAGCATTGTGTGTGTGTGTGTGTGTGTGTGTGTGTGTGTGTGTGTGTGTGTGTGTGTGTTGACGGCTCTCTAAAGGATCAAGTCTTGGGAATTGTTCTGGCCATTGAACCCTGCATCCTACCACCTGTTAAGATGTCCAGCAGCCGTGTCAGAGCAAGTCTGCTTTCCCTGCTATATACTGGGACACCACGTCTCCATTTATCACAGTCCCTTCTCAGTTTACCTAATAGCTGCCTGTCCATTCTTTAAAGCAACCAATGTGTTGCAGCTTTGGTTTGGAAAGCATAGCATGCTCTTCCTTCCTTGCTTTTCCTTTCTCGGAGCCACCCTTGGCTATCCAGGCCTCACTCCGCAGTAAACAAATGAGCTCTGCTACTCCAGCAGTCCTTCTAGGAATGAATTTCCCATCAGTTCCTCTGTGTGCAGTGCCAGCATCCCCACCCCCACTGACATGCCTAGTTTTGCATGTCACTAGATCCTTCAGAGTTGGAGATGCGTTCGAAGCTGACAGAGTTGGCCCCTGAGCAGAGATGCATCACATCTTCCTCTGCTCAGCGTCAACTCACTGGATGCCATGCAGTTCTACATGTTGACCTCAGTTTTCAAAACATATTCGTAAAGGGTTTTCTACAGCTGAATACATAAAAAGTAGATGATTTTTCAACTTGGAACATTCTGATTCTTACAGAAAACTATCCAATCATAAGATAACTAGAGACATTTATTCAAAGTTTGATAAGCTAACATCAAGTCTCCATTTTTATCATCTAGGGGATTTGTTTCTAAACTATAGTTTGTCATATAAGTTTTGATTTATTCTCCTCATATATACAACACCTTATTTGTAAATGGATAAACTGCCATGCCTGAGGTAGGACTGCCATGAGTTCAGGGCCAGCTTTAACTGTATATTGAGTTCTGGACCAGCTGGGCTATATTGTGGAACCCTCTCTCAAAGTCAATACCAAAAACAAAATAACACAAACTACAATATTTTTCCTTCATATAATTTTTAAAACTGGGAACATTTTCCTTAGAAATACTGTGTAATTCCCCAGCAACAACAGGACTACTAAACAGGGTGGGCTGGATGATGCTTTGACAGAACCAGAGAAGCAATAGGGACCACTTCTTGGTGGTCAGCCACCCTGGCACAGATTAGGATCTGTCCCCTGGTCAGGCTACGTCCTTCCCCCAGCTGTGTGCCTATAGCACCCCACGGAATCTCCATTGGATTTTAAAGCACAACAGAGTATTTCCCTTTGTATGTTTCTAGCACAGAACTGTTTCTAAAACAACTTGACGTGTAGTTTTCTTATAGAAACAATTATTTCATGTTTGTTTTACTTAAGTACTAGAATGTAAAACCTTTAAGGTTCAGATTTTTAAACAACTAGTATAATATCTTATTTGCCTCATCTGCTGCACTGTATCCCAACCTGTAATTAAAATTATAATATGTTTGCTCCCTGGTCTTTTTGTTGTCTCTTTTGACCATTCCAGTAGCTTTCCACCTGAGGAAAGTGAGTACTAATAAAGTAGCACGTTGAATGCTTACTATGCGCCTGCCACAGTTAATATATGTAAAGTGCTCAATGCTACTTGATTGACTTACTAAGTTGTCAGTAATTTAGTGTGAGTCTTGAGTGGTTGGGCTGGAACAGGTTGGTGATATGATTTTCAATCTGAAGGTCCCCTTGTTCATAACCTTGAAGAAATGTTGAAGATACAAAGACCTGGAGTAAGCAGAAGCAGTGGGTTCTCCTTTTGCAAATACACTGTTCTCTTCAGTCCTTGTCGGCTCTATGGGACTGTGTACTTTTTTAAAGGTTCTAAAACCTAGTGTGAAATTACACCACCTCCTGTGTGCCACCATTCTTTAAGGGCATTACTCACCCTCTTCATGTGAATCATGGCTGAGTTAGCAAGATAGCCCAATATTAGGCACAAGAGGGGGTTGGACTGCCTCCTAGACTGCCACCTGTAATAGTGCCCCATGGAAGAAAGCGCACTCATTCCTGGCTCACTTTCAGGTCTGAGCAGGATGCTCAAGAGTTACCTGGATGGTAGAGCCAATGCTCATCCTCTTGAAGGAACTGATGCTATGGCAAAGGTGCTCTGCTCCGGCCTCCCCTCATTCCAGTACATCAGACAGTTCCTATGCCGTGTGAGCCTACCAGCCGTGAAATTGGACACTTTTGGAGGGGATTAATAGCAAAACGCCAACCTGCCCAACACATACCTTTGGCTGGGGAAAGTGGAATGAAGTCAGTGTCATATCACAAATGACAGTAGGAAAAGATGGATATCATCGGAACACAAGAAGCTATTGGATTCCATTTTGTTTAATGCAAACACTAGACCATTTACAATTCACACTTGGACACAAGCACATAAAACGATGTACAGGGATTCTGGCAGTCTCCAACACGTTTTCCTCAGAGAACTGGTACTAACTACAACCCAAATGGCTGAGACAGTAGGCCTGTCCCACAGCAGGGTGGGCAGTCCCCTGCATCAAGCCACTTGAGAATGTTGAGCTTTTTTGAAGTTCTTCCTGTCAAGTCACACCTCTAGAGATCTGATCTTGGCAATTGGCTCTTCCACTTCATTCACTTTCTCCTGTCTATTACCTGGGACTAGCCCAAGTTGGCCAGCTCAGCCTTCAGCGGGGACAGAAGACCAGTCCCATGACTTCTGCAGGCCACAATGCCCCAGCAAGTATAAAATGCCAGTGGGAAGAAGGAGCCCGGCCCCTGGGATGAGACTGTATGAACAGGAGGCCGATGGCCCGCCCAGGCCTGTCCAGCCACTTAGCTAGCGCCTGCGGGCTGAGTGATGGGTTTTATGCAGAAGGGCTTTATGCAGAAGGCACCGAGGTAGCTAAGGGAGAGCAAAGTAGAGCTCTTTTTCACTGGAACCAGTGCTATTGAGAAAACAATTTCACAAGAGGGCATTTATTTTACATCATGGCTGTGGGGTTCAAGGGCTTTTGCCATCAGAGAGGCCTCAGCATAAAGGTAAAGTAGACAACCCCCCTGAGATTACCTTAGCAACACGTCAACAGGCCAGATACTAAAAAGTCTTCCTTAAGCCACCTCTAGCTCAGCACTGGCCAGAAGGTGGCATCGCTGTCTCTTGATGTCCTTGGTGTCAGTGAGGCACAATTCTGAGGAAGCTGACAGCAATCTGACCAGCAAGTCAGAAGGTTCTGGAAACCGACACATCTTGCAAGCAATGTTTCCCTTGCTAATTAACTTGCTGAAGAACAAAGGGGGCTTCCCGAGGCCATGTTTTTCTTCCATCTTGGTGCCATTTCCCCAGTGTTCCAGCCTCCCTATCAGATCCACAGACCTAGTCTGCCTGGGACCAAAGGCCAGTCAAAAGGGGCATCTCATAGCCCACAGGTACACACAGAGAACAAGTGTTCAGGCTGCTTGGAGACATGACACCACCAGCCCTCCACCATGAATAGTCTTTAAAGAACAAACACACTCAAGGCATGCATTAGACAGCACAAGGTTTCAGTGGTTTCTTAAGGTGGGTGTTGCCTTATCCCAGCTCAGCGGATGTGAAGGAGCCAATTCACAGTCTGTGGAATATATGGGGCCATCATGTCGTCCAGAGGAACTGTGAGTTTTGTAAGTAGGATCTTGCTTTCCCAGTGACACACACTGTTTTCTGAAGTGCTTTTTGACAGGACAAACTATTCACATTAAATTAGCTTAGCTTTCAATTGCAGGGTTCACTGCAGAGCTCACAGAAGCCAAGAGCCAAAAGTCAAAGGAACAATCCAGGAAGTAGCCAGCTCTGGCCCAAACTAGGTGGTAGGAGGCATCTCTGGGCCAGGTGAAGCCCTAGTTCTTGGTTTCCTGTTATTTATCACAGTGAACATGGCCAGAGCCCTCTTCACTATAGCAGTGAGGACAAGCTACAGGACTACAAAGGCAACAGTGACATCGCACTCGGCTAAACCAGCTTCCCTACCCCTACCCCACCCCCACCCCCATTCGCTCCTAGTAAAGCAGCAACCATGCTTCTGGTTTCCATGTTCATTCTCAGGCTCTGTAGCTCTTGCTACCCAAATAAGATCATGTACACGGCAGGGGTGAGCACCTACCCCAACCTGGTAGAAAACGCATTTCCAATGCAGAAGTTACCAGGCCAGCCAGAGACCCTTATGGAATCAGATGGGAATCAAGCCTGCAAGTCACAGCTCCCACGTTCTCTGGATTCCTAAACTCAGGGTGAGGTGACTGTGAGATGCATGCTTGCACTAAAATAACTAAAGAGCTCGTGCCCCACCTGGACAAGCTCTCTGGAAGCTGAGCAGTAGAAACCCCAAGTTGTGGAGAGAACAACAAAATGTTTTTAAACGCCTAGGTGTGTGTGTGTGTGTGTGTGTGTGTGTGTGTGTGTGTGTGTATGTGGTGCACTTGGTGCTGGCCGATCTGCTTCTTGCAGAGGCTCCACTTGTACCAGATGCTAGCCGAGCAACCTGCTCACAGCTCTTAGTGGCCAGTGTCCCAGCAAGGCCTCCAGCATTCTAGATGAAGAGTCTCACAAGACCTAGGGATTGCTTACGCAGAAATGTTCTCCTTCAGTGTTGTCTCCACCATCCTCTGGGACACCCTCACCTTGGTCTCCCTCCTTCTTCCCATGCTAAGGCTGGAAGCAGGCTGTCTCTTTGACCCAGCAACTTGTAATGCTCATGATCTGCTCATGGCAGGTCTCAGGTCTCAGCACCAAGTCTCTTCGGAGTCACCATACTCTGCAGGACAGGGCACAGAAACGACACTCACAAACATCTAAGGTTTGTTTGTACAGAAAATTCAGTACAATAAGAAGCCAGTGGCATGAGAAGAAACTTGAGGAAAAGGTCAGCAAATGAAATCTGGAGCTGGGTCCCAAGCGGTGGCACCCTTCCTGTGCACCTGCCACTGAACAGGGCCTCAGATCCGGGGTGCCTCAGGTGGTGGAGGCTCTGCAGACTGTGTTTCTTGTTTGGAGTATGTCACTGGGAAGAGAAGACATGTGTTAGGGGAGTTTGCAACCTCTGCTCTACCCAAGTCCCATTAGCAGTTTCATTCTGTGCTGCATGGGCAGGTCAGCACCTCCGAGGCCTGCTCACCGAGCCCTGCAGGGACTGCCATGAGTCCTGGATGCAAAGTTCAGGGTGGGTCAAGGGGAGTAAAGGCAGATGCCTGTCAGGCTGCACAAAGAGCCCTGCCTCCATTTCCTCATCTAGAAAATGGGCACGCTTCTGGATTAGTGGCTCTAAAGCATTCATCACAGCCCTTGGGTGTTCATCAGGGTTGATGGAAGAATTACAGCTGTGACAGAATCCACACCTCTGCACTGCACCCAGGCCATTTCCATATCTGTGGTGCTGCACTCCCAGATAACTTGCAGAAGCAGTGGCCTAGGGACCTCACTCTCCATTACAGACCAGGTAGAGCCTCATCCCTCCTCAGCACCAGCCTCCATAGCTGCCATCCTGTAGCTCTGCTCTTTTCGTTTCCTTGTCAGTGCCAGCACAGGCTCAGCTTTGGGAGAGCAGGCTACCTCACTGCCTCATGAAGCCATGCTTCCCCAGGAGCCATCTCGGGCCACAGGAATGGTCCTCTCCCTCTCCTTTGGCCTTACCATATGTAGCCTCTAATTACTGGTAGCCACTGAACCCCAAAAGTGCTCAATAACCCCACAAAGGATAACAGAACTGGCTTTGAACTATGTGTCTCCTTGTCATTAGCCATTTTCTAACTGAAAGCTCTAGAGACCATTACAGGTGAACATACACCTGCAATCCCAGCACTCAGGAGGTAGAAGCGGAGAATCAGAAATTCAAGGCTACTCCTAGCTACAAAGTGAATTTGAGGCTATCTTGCCTACCTGAGATTCCGTCACAAACATACAAAAGTTGAAAACAGAGTAGAGGTCTAGATGCAAACCTTTCCCATGGATAAGCATGCCCAGGCCATATGTGTGTGCTGGCAAAGAGGCAAGGTGTCCTGGGCTCACATTCAGATGATTCCACAGTTTGGGCTGAGCAGCAAAAGTAACTAGAAGTCATCACCATGGTGCCAGTGTCCCCATTCTTAAGAAACAGGGAGGCCAGCTGACCAGTCACAGGATACAGGCAGACCTGGGCCCCTGAAGGTTTTGTAATGAGCAGACATTCCAGAAGCAGATTCTTATGGGCCTCCCTAACCCAGGTGTATTCAGTGTTGGAGCCACTGAATTTGGAAAGCCTTCAGAGGGGGGCACTGATGGAGAAGTCCTCACCTTGGGGTTCCTCACACACAACGGCTTCCAGGTTCTCCCCCTTCACGTAGTCTGCATTGAGGCCCTCTGCAAAGAGCAAGAGCAAAGTCAAGGAGGGAACAAAGGAGCCCTCACGACTGAGAACTCGTGACTGTGTCTGCTATGACAGTAACCCTGCCAGAATCAGCCCCGTCCCTGAAT